CCCCCCCCCCCCCCCCCCCCACGCCGGCTGAAAAATCCCAACTATACCACCCCCTTGATCGCATCTAATTGGGTTTTGCGCAGGGAGTGTCGATCGAGAGATGGGACTGCCTGCAGAGTACCAAGGGAGGGAAGAGGGCGGACGGCTCCGGCAGCTCATTCGACATCAACCCGTGTTTCTGCCCCTTCGGCGCCTTCTGCAAGAACTTGACCTCAGGTGGGAGGTCTTACACCGTCTCGCCAATCTGTACCGTAGAGGCCCCTGTTTAGTGCCGGTGTATGGTTGTGTCCAGAAATTTCACCGGCATTATAGGCGGAACGCCACTATTCAAAGTACTGGCAATGGTTTGGGAATTCAGTGTGTGCCCGCCGAAAACACCGGCACTATTCCGGGCACCGGTACTATTCAACCTGCACTAAACAGGGACCTCTACTGATACCGTAGGTTGGATGCGTATGAGAACACCTACCTGGACTGATTGTCAATGCTAGATTTATCGACCTCAGTGGTGATGCCGAAAGTGGCAAGGGCGTTGGAATCGTGTCGTAGAAGACAATGCCACCTGGAGTCTTGTTGGTCGTCGAGTCGTCGAGGAACCGGGGTTCAAAGCGATGTTCAGAGGGTGTGTGATGTGATATCCTACCGTATGCGACCTGCGGTACATGAGAGAGCCTTGTGGATGAATCTGCAAATAGTATCTAGAGTTCAACTGTAATTACTTGGATAAAAGGGATGCATTTGACATGGTTTGCTTGACGGTAAGCCACGAACCCGCCTGATGATGCCCTCACGTTCGATACTACAGTTGCATCTTCTTCTCTCTGTAACCGCAGCAGCACTCTTCGTCTACCACTTTCCTCATTTCCCCCTGCAGGGCATGTATGTCACATGTCACAAGGAAGGCCCCCCGGCACACCGCCCGCAAGAATATCCCACCTCAAGCTCAGTACCGTGCCGTAAATTCCACCCGTTCCGTTCTAGGCGAATGGGTCGACCCGTCGGTGTGCCCCAAGGATGGGACGGCTCTCTGCTGGGACATCAACCATACACCGGTCAGTGGCATAAGAGGCTCCTTTTGAGCCGGTTCTAATTCGAGGAGCGCAGTATCGTCGAGACACCTCCAGCAGCGGGAACTAGACACGGTACAAGCGTTCCCCATTATTTACTCAAGAAACTGACAGCCGTGATCGAAGTCAGCCTGTAAAACGGTCACTAAAGCCGAAGTTGAAGCACGAGACTTTGACCGCAAGTACAGGTGTTCAGCCAAGAGTCCATTCGGGGTTGGGGTTTACCCCACAAGAGAGGGGTAAATATGACACGGGCCTCGGAAAGAGTAAAAGGTCCTCAACCCTCACGTACGGGGACCTTTGCTGTGGGCAAGCTTGCAAGGTGAATTACGTTCGTTTACGGTGATGGCCCCGTTTCTAGAAAAACTTATTACAATTCAAAGAAAGACTGTGAACCCTTTCGAGGTAAACCATAACATTCATTGTCGAAAGTTTTTGTTTCGATGTGCACACAATTAATGGAAGGCTGCCCTTCGAATAGTGCCGTACGTAGTCGAAGGAAATGTTATCTGTGTCTTGCTCTACCTACCGTGTGGTCCGTCCGACCCTCCAATGACTTAAGGAAGCGCAACGACGCGGGGCGTAACGCGGACGAGATTCCTATGATCCCGTGCGTAACTTCGTTCTATTCGCGAGAGATGAAAACTTGAGCAAGTCCCCGTAAAGTGTACTAAATAATGTGACAAAGAAGTATTTTCAGGCAATTCGACCAAACACATTTCTCAGCGTCCCCGATAACGTGTATACTCGGCGCCAAGAAGCATGTTCAGATATTTCGACCAAACTCGCATCTCAGCAGTCCCCGATAGGTGCATTCATACTCGAGGACAAGAAGCTTTTCGGGCGACCGGACCAAACGCGCATTTCGGCATGACTAATAGAACCCTCGACCTTTTTCTAGCTTCCAGAGGATGTAATTTGTTGTTGGTATGTGTTTTCGTATTGACCGAATTCTGTGGGGTTTGCCCTGCCAAGCTCACACCGCACCGTGCCATACCAAGGCTATGCCAGTGACTCCCTTGCCCCTTGCGCTTTGTTTTGTAACGCCAACAAACGGCTGTCTGTCGTTGTTATTGTTGTTGTTGTTGTTGTTGCCGTTGTACTGAGACCTATTTCGCCCTCGCACGAACATAGTCTCGTCCAACGTTTTGTTCCTCGTCTATCCTGCTCGTCAAGTCAATGACAAGGAGCTCCTTTGGTGCCGACGAGCCTACTCGCAACCCGACGACGACAAACAACTGGCATTAGTGCTCGCTACCACGTGCAAAACACAATGATGAAGCCGGAATAGAATGTGATACGCTAGCGGCTACGGTTTTGACAACATCACTCTCCATCCGTTTTTCTCTTTTCACCGTAGTGTTGTGTAATATTTGTGTTTCTCATGGTCGGGACAAGCCGAAAACACTGTCATGAATCCGATGTTCTCTTCACCCGTAGCCTCTACTGCTGTACATCAGAAGCGCACACCTGACAGTGGTTCGTTCCCGTGTCTATGGATGTTGAGGAACGCTGTTCACCCTAGCCTAACCTCAAATGCGACACGCGCGTCTTCCCTTATCTCGTGTGCGTTGCTGCGAATCGGCCGCACTTTAGGTGGACTTGTACATAAAGAGCACGCGGGATTGCACTGCCGCTCAGGGTCCAAGTTGCTCCTTGGACGCGCCATGCACTCCTTGCGGTCTCGACACCTTAGAGGTAAGTAGGCGGTGGTTTTCTGCGCAGGGGGGGGAGGGGGGGGGGG